CGACCTCGTCTTGCCACCTAGGTCCTAGGTCACACTGCGCTAGTGAGAGGAAAAGGCAGCTCCCCTCTCCACAGTTCTCCAGAGCAGAAGCCAGTGGAGACCACTTCACGGAGAGGTCGGAGTTAGTAGCAGATTTGGTGCCTTCTTGATCCACAGCCATGGTCGCGCCTGGTTCTTCTCCGGGCACCGCACGTTTGGCTCCTCGAGGCTCGATCTCTTGCGAAGGCTCAACCTGCATGGCTTGGGCCGCACCACGTGAACGCTGAGGTTTGGTGGAAATCGAGGCTTGGCAGTATAATCCCCAAAGGTGATGTGCCGCCGGTGCTGGATGGGCTTGATCTCGGCTTGCTTGCTCCCCCGGCGCGCGGACTCATGGAGAACCACCAGCTCGCGAGGGCTCTCGTCAGGACCCCATTGGATCGGCGCCTGCACCGCGTGAAGCGTGTCCTCTCGGAGGGCCTTGAAACACCAGTCGTTGTGTTTACCAGCTCGGCTTTTAGAAACAATGGTGACAGAGGAAAACCCCAGTTGCTGCACCGCCGTCTCAACGTCATCAATCTGGAAGTTGCACGGCACGGCAGGGTGCGGCAACAAAGGCAGGGTCCGACCTCTTCATGCGAAGGCCAAGGCCTCGTCCTAGGACTAGGCCGTACTTCGCCTCAGCGGCCACCCGGTGTTGGCGGGACACATAATCCTCGTCCGTGTTCCACTGCGCCCAATGAATGCCCATGTCCTCAAGGATAACAGCTGAGCGATCACCCAGCACCTGACAAAGTCCAGAGCTTGCGAGCTATAGTCCGGTCGCGAATGTGCATGAGGCCCCAGATCCTGGTGCGGCCGACCTGCGCAAAGCCCCATGTGTCGATGATCATGGCCTGTTTGATGCGGCGAGCAGCGGCCCAACTTCTGGCATGCTGGCTCGGGTTCTTAAGCACATTATCGCAGGGCCCCGCCTCAAAAACCTGATCGAAGGCGAAGCGAAGGACATAGGTCGAAGCCCTCAGCGTCTGCGTCGAAGGAGGCGGCTTCGCGACCACCACAGGAGTCGCCATGCGAGAGGTGAGGACCGGCGGCGAAGAGCCCGCAGTCAGAAGCCACATCTTCCGAGTAGCAAGCTTGCCTCCTGTATGACCCGGAACAACAATCGCAACGGCATCCGAGGCCCACTCAGGCAGCTCTTCCTTAGTCTCACGGCACGGGAAGAGCAATAAAAGATCATTCGCATCCCAGTCCAGCCAGCCATGCGACACCCGAGGACTCGTCAAGCTCGTTGCTGAAACTCTCGGCACACTCCACAAAGCCAATGCCGGTTCTAGCCTGCCAGAGCTTGCGATCAAGAACCCAATGGTCGGAACCACGCTGTCAGTGTCAGCCCTGGCCGCCTTGGGCTTACGCCAGCGCCTCGATGACCGAGACAGTGGGGCAGGCGTCTCCCAAGTCTCAGCGGGGGCGCCCACGACCGGAGCACCAGGAGCCCACCCCGCTGGCATGGTCCTCACTCTCTTCCTCGTCAAGAAGATCGACCCAGCGGCGGCGAGCAGCACCACCATTACTCTGCCACCAGTCCGAACCGGCGGTGACCGCGGCATCCTTGAGCACGTGGCGTGAAGAGGAGGAGGCATAGTAGGACCCAGCTTGTCCGGCCCGTGCCCCAGCAGCAGCTTCAGCATCCCATGAGACCCACGGCGAAGAGGAGGCGGAACCGCACCACTCATCCCACGAGCTCTCATCTTCTTCAGGCGGCCAATCGTCGTCAACCGGCCAATCGGCAAAGCGATCTGTGCCCCAGCCCGGCCACCTATTCCAATCGCGCCATCGACCACATTGGCCCTGACCACCCCGCTGCTCGTCACTCGCATGTTCCCTCTGATTCTGCAATGGATCCCCGAGTAGCGGGCCCAGAAGCGAACGAAGCTTCCTAGGGCCTAAGTCTCGCATGGCCTGCACAAGTGCTTGCTCCTTCATGCGAGCTGTTCGTCGGCTGCCTGCCGGGCCTGGATTACTAGCTTCACCAATGCGAACGCCCGACAAGGGCGCTCTGCGCGCCCGGTCGGCTCCAGCAAACATCCAGCGGAATGGGCCTCTGGAAGCACTCTCTTCAGCAGACTGAGGCTCAACAACTAAAGTATCCCAAGCCATACACGCAGAACCCTCGCAGCAAAGTCCTTCAGCGAAGTCGCGGCGAAAACCCAAGTTGTTCATGACGACATAGGCGTCACGAAAAGGCTCGTCGGCAAAAGCGTGCAAGTAGAACTTGTTCGCGCCATCGAGCTGATCAAAACCAAAAGTGGTGGTCCTGTTGCCACCGTTGACGAAGCACTGCTCGGCGACCGGGTATTCCACAATCGCTCCGCTGGGCTCTGCATATCCACATCCTCGAAGACCGCCGGCCACTAACAGCAGCCAAAGCTTACTGAGTTCGTGGGTCCTAGGCCCACAAGGGCCAGTGGTATTTTCAATGCACCCGTCTGGTAAACAAGGCCCAGAACGACCATCAGTGCCGGAGACCATGTCTCCCATGGCATCTTTGTGATCTTTCTTGCTTTGTTCTTGATACGCTTTTCTCGGTTCTCGGGCCCGGCTCCCAACCTACCCTAAAACCAAGCAGCCAACGAATCACCCCTGCACCATGTCGTGAGGAAGAAAAGCGGGCACAGCAGGCAACCAATGGATGTTCCGAAGCCAATCCGTCCAGGCAGATGCCCGCAGCCCACAGCTCAGGAGGCCATGGCAGCAAGGCGAGCAAAGAGAAGGCCCAGGGACAATAGGCCCTGCAAGGCCACAACCACGTGTGCCGCCGTCACAAGTGACAGCTTCTCTGGCATCTCGATTGCCACTTAGGCTTTTCACATCGTTCTTGTGATCACTCTTGTCTTGTTCTTGTGATTTTTTCTCGGTTCTCGGTTCCGGCTCCCACAACCTACCCTAGCACCAAGAAGCCTACGAAGAGCTCCTGCAGCACGTCGCTGTCGACGAAGTTGCCGAGGGAGGGCAGGCGGCTGGCAATGGGGACAAGCAATATTGCTCGGTGGTTCTAGACCACTGTGCACTGTGGCACATCCCATAAAGATCTACAATTGAAAATAAACTCTAGTCCATCGTATCGAGCTCCGCCGTGGACACACCTTCATCATCAACCGGCTCATGGTCTTGCTCGGTTGAATCCTCATGTAAGGTTAGATCAATGACCGCGACAGCCTCATTCACATATTGTTGTGGCCCAGGGTGTCCGAAACTGCTATTGCCAGACGAACCACCTGTGGAGAGGTCCTGCTGTGCCAAAGGGGGAGGGTCAGTGCTGGAACCGGCGTAACCAGTCCCAGCAGCTGACAATCCCGGATTCCGCTGCGTAGAGCCATTGCGACCATCTGCCGTTGGATTTTGTCCCCGCCCGTCCGCCCAGTTATTGTTCGGCTGTTTGCGCTGGCAGCGATGGCTGTGTCTCCTGCCGTTTGTAAGTGAACATACTGAGCAGCAGGAACGATATCCCCCGTTGGCCGTGCGGCCACACCGCAAAGTGCAACACGGTCCAGCAAAAATATTCATGCCGTGAGGTTGCTGCAGAATACCTTGTACACAAGTGCCTCGTTCCGTGTGCTGGGCACGATTGAATTGATTGCAATGGGAGCAGCAGTGTCTATGACCATGTCCCAGTACATGTCGGCGACTATGATGACGCCTCCACGCCGGCAGTCGCGGGCTCTTTCGAGAACGAAGTCATCCTGTTTAGCGACCGGTGGGCAATGTGGGTTACTCTGCCTGCTGTTTGCGTTGTGGGATCCGGGGCCATCTTGGCTTTGGATTGGGGTGATTGCCTTCTTCGGAGAGATCTTCTCCTTGATGCTGTTTAGTGGGATGTGGCCTAGATGGTTACTCGAATGCATTGGATTTCAAGAACGTGCCAGGCTCTGTTCGGGCTGTGTTGGGACACGGCTCAAGCGGAAAAAGATTGCACGAGGACGCGGCCTTCGCCTTGGCCAGCCGCTCGTGGTTCGCTGGGCGACCACGGACTAAAAGGCGTCTCCTACTTCGGCTCCACTTTGGTGTCTCTGCCAGGTATCGTGGCTCCCTGCGAGCCTTAGTGCGGCGGGCCGTGCGAGCTCACGTCAGACCATGCTGTGCCTTTGCGGCACGACGGTGCGGCCTTCGCCGCTGCAGATGGACTAAAAGCAAAAGACGCTTCGCTCGGAAGCCGCTGGCGCCGGCTTGGCGACGTGGGCAGCGCGGCATTCGACCTCTTTCTCTTCATACCGAGGCATCAGACTCGGTGCAGCGAGTGCAATGCACTACTACTACTACTAC